CCAAGACTTTTAAAAAGACCAGTGCTGGCTTCTGCTTGGATCGGGGCTGCAGAGGGAAAGGTTGGGGGGACTCTCAGCACAAACCCATGTTCCCCAGACCAACACGGAAGGATGCAGGGGAGCTTTGTGAACCCTGAGTGTTGGGGGCACCCTCGATTTCTTGAGAGAACTCACGAAGCAGGGGGCAGCCCTTTTCCTTACAGTCTCCTGCCCGTCATTCCTCCCTCCCTTTCCCCTCTTCTCAGCTTACTCGGTTACAGACTGGGGGACTGGAACATGAAATGAATGGTGACAAAGGACAAGAATGCAGACAGATAACGAGTCCAGGCTCTCAGTTTGCTCCTGCCTCCTGTCCTGGGACTGACTCCATAGCCGCCGCCCACTCCGCTGGACCCCACTGGAACACTGCCCAGCTGACCTCCACCTGCAAACTTCCCAGGCGTAGGGCCAGGCCAGGCCAGCCGCTGCTCCTTCAGCGGTGGCGGTCTGTCACTTTTCCCTTCTGATGCCATTTGGAAAAAGAGCATGTGTGGGTGTTATGGCAGATTTGGGGTACTCTTGGGCTGTGTGGCCTTGGGCAATTCATTTCACCTCTCTGAACGGTGGTTTCCTCCGCCACAAAATGAGGATAATATGACCTCCCTCCTAACAGAAGTGTTATGAGAATCTAGAGATTTGCATAAAGAATTCAGTTCAGTACCAGGCACATGTTAACAACAGCTACAGTTCTGTGCTGTGGACATAACACAACACATGATAGAAGGAGGCTCAGAGACGTTAAATCATTGCCCCAGATCCCACAGGGCCGAGCTCAGCACCTGGGAGGCCCCTCCTCTTTGACCATGTTAGCATCTTCTATGGTTCTCTCACTGTCTCATCTTCAAGAATCCCGTTTTTCCTCCCACACTTTAAGAAAAAGACAGTAGATTCATTAGATTCATTGTTTCCCTCCCCAACCCAGTCCACTCGGAAAATACTTATTCAACGGAATCAGTGGTTTCAGTTCCAGAAGCTAAATGAATCCTGTCCCTCCTCCCCCGGCTCCGAGATGGCTTTTGGAAACCATGTCACCCCCTTTATTACAAGCTCCTCGGCCCTCCTCCAGGCGCCTGGGCCACTCTGGGATTACAAATGGAGCCTCCTGCCTCTAGGGCACTGCCTCCGCTACCGCTGTCAGTGCGGATTGATTGAGGAGACCGGCCCTGCCCCGCAGATCGGTGACTTGTGCCGGGTGAGCCCCGTGTCGTGCCTTCAGCGGCAGGCGGATGTCCTTCCTCTCGCTCGCTCGCAGGCTCTTGAGCACACGTGCAGCCCTCATCTTTCTCCCTCTGCGGGCCCCACCTCTCCTTCCTCTTGGTGGGGCCTCCTGCCGACTCGAGCACTCCAACTGACAAGAGCCTCAGGTTAGCAGAGTGGGGAACCCCCACAGCATCCTGCACAGCCTGTCCCAGGCCAGGCACTTCCCCATGCAAACCAGATGGAAGCAGAGAGTACACAAGCAGCAGGGCAGCCAGATCCCTGGTGGCACGCCTTCCTTCCACACAGCACCTGCTGGGTGCGGGGCTGCCGGCCCGCTGGAGAGGGCAGAGGGGCGTAGAATAAGTCTTTCTGGGGCAAGGACAGGGCCGGCTGTAAGGCTAAAGGGGCCTGGGAGGCTCCTCAGGGCCAGGGAACACCAAGACTTCGCCGTGTGGGGACAGCCACCTGCTCTTCCCAGGAGGGCTGTGCCAGTGCAGGGGGAGGGGAAGGAGGGATGAGGCCGGTATCTGTGACGCGCTTGGTGTGAATTTGTATCACGGGATCTCGACGACCTCTGCTCAGGAGGTGTGGGATGGAAGTCGTGGCTCCCTCTTTAGCTCCCACTGGTCACTGGGCTGTTTATGTGACCGTGTCCGTCTCTCCCGGGAGTATGAGCATTTGTAGGGCACACACCTCTGCTTCGCTGGGGTCTCCAGCATCCTGTGCGGGATGTGGGTGACTGTGAACGGGCACTGTGTGTTCGCCACAACCTGATGAGGCCGGTACTGTTACCAGCCCCACTTCACAGAGGGGGCCACAGAACACAGAGTTTAAGAGACTTGTCCCAAGGCTCACAGCTTGGAAGAGGCGCAGGTGGGATCTGATCCCAGGCCTTGAGAGGCTGCACTCTTCACCACAGCCTCCCAGCACGTGGTCAACAGCGGACAGATGCATGGACGCAGAGAGTTGGTGGGCCCCAAGTCTGCAGGCGGGCGGGGAAAGAGGCATGAGAGGCAGCAGGGTCGGCACCAGCCTCTCCCCACAGGAACATGTGGGAGCCCTGGAGGCTGGGTGGTCTGCCTGGAAGACCGCGGCCTCCCCAGCTGGTGGCCTCGCTGTGCGCCAGGGCCAAGGCATTCATCTCCCCCCAGGTGAGCAGAGAGAGGACACGGGAGGAGACACAGCTGGGCGGCTGGAGGCCCCTGCAGCCTGACCCCACGTGGAGCAGCCCTCAGCCCACTCGGCACTCCTGCCCCTGGCGGCACAACTCTCCCTGGGCGGCCCCTGTGTGGGGGCCCAGCACTGGTCACTGAGCTGGGGGCCCAGCCTGGTCTCACACCCAGGACACCCCTGCCTTGTCCTTCAGCATATGGCTGAGTCTGAATTCCTTCCTTCATCGGGAAATTGGAGTGGGAGGAGGGGCTGAGGGATCCGCCCGCCTCCAGGGAGTGGGGTGTCTTACCTTGACTCCTCCCAACAGCCTTATGAGGCAGGGATTATCATCTTCATGGTACAGACAAGGAAAGGAACAAAGAGGTTGAGAGACATCCCCGAAGTGCCACAGCTAACAGGTGGCAGAGCTGGGATCTGAACTCAGCCTTCGGGCCCCAGAGCCCCCGCTGCGCACCACAAGGAGTTAAAGCGAAAATGAAATAATCTAGCCATCGCAGTGCCAAGGCGTGTCCTCAGCACTTCACCCGCATTAACTCACTTAATCCTGACCGCAGCCCTGTGAGGTGCACGCTGGCGTGAGGGCATCTTGCAGACGAGGAAACGGAGGCCCAGAGCCACGAGGAAGGGGCAGAGTTGGAATGTGAAGCTGGTGGGCTGGGCGGCAGGCTCCAGCTTCGCTTTATCACGAGATAACAATAGGGAGGGTCCTTTCCTTCGGGATTATTTCTGCTTGAAAGCTCAGGACTTTTAGCCCCATCTCTGCGGGGCTCCACGGCAAGGCAGTGCCACATGCTGAGGCATGCTGGGAAACGACTTTGTTCCAGCCTGTTTTGTTGACACGCTCTTCATTTTAAGCCCGAAACCCAAGCTTCCTGCGAAGAATTCAAACCAGGGAGAAAAGTGCAGCCATGATACAGCCACCACTCCCTCTGCGTGGGGCTCCCTGCGTGTCCTCACCCCTCGCTTTCACGGGCCCGAGCAACTCCCACCTCACAGCTCGAGCCCAGAGCTGCCAACAAGACGCCCAGCAGCACACAGCCGCGAAGGGCCAGCACTGGGACCTGTCGCCGGGTCCCGCCTGAGAATCCCGGCTCTTCTGACCAATCAGCGCGCTGCCCTCTGGGCACAGAGCGGGGTCTTGCTTGCTGGCTTGGAGGGCAATGCTTCTGTCCATCTGCCACAGGCTGGTCCCTCCGTGTCAGGATCCCCGGATCCCCGGGAAGATGCCAGGACACAGGTGCAGATCTGCAAAGCTGGATGCTGCCTCCGCTGTCAGGGAAGCTGAGCAATGCGGGCATCGATGCTCCCTCCACTCCACCTCCCTCCGGCGACTCGGGAGTGGCTACCCTGCCACCAAGGTGACTGTCCTCTGGAAGCAGCCATGCCACGTGAGGTTCCTCATCCCTGCCCTGCATCTCCTCGCCAGGACAACTGCCAAGGCACACGCGTGGTTCCAGGAAAGGGAAAGCAGCAGCGTCGACAGATTCTCCAACTCCCAGCCGGTCCTGCGGACTCGGCCTCTTCCCGGCCCACCCACCCCTGCAGCAGGCTCCTCGGTTACCCCGAGCCAGCTCTGCCCCCACTCCCTCTGGCCCCAAGGTTTTCAATGGGTCCCAAGTGCCTTCGGAGTTTGAGTTGATTCTCCTCCACCTGGACCACGAAGCCCTCATCTGGCCCAGCTCCATCCTCCACCTTCTCTCACGTGTCCTGTGCCGCCTCTTTGCCAAACACAGTTTGGAGCTGTGTTCCCGCCCGTCTGTGCCCCAAAGCATGAAGCCCTACCTCTTCCCTATATGTTGGAATTACACCCTCTTTCAAGTTTCAGTCTAATGCCACCACCTCCTTGAAGCCTTACGTTAATACTCATCATAAATTCATTCAACAAACACTGACGGAGCCCTTGCCATATGTCACGCCTTGAGCCCAGGGGTCCCTGTTGTCATGGAGCCTACAGTCCCATGGGGCCATTAGAGGGAATGGCCTGTCACGTAAATACTCATCTGGTAACAGCCACGACATACATTAGTGAGACAGCGTGGCAGGTGCCCAGAAGGTGTACAATAGGACCCTGGGTCTTGGGGGTCCGGGACATTTGGGGTGAGAACTGAAGGACAGGCAGGAGGCAGCCATGTGCTGAGGTTGGAAGAGAGCTCCCGGTGGCAGGCACAGCGGAGGCCCTGAGATAGGGGGGAGCAAGCAGATTCCGGGAAGGGAAAGGAGGCCAGAGCAACATAACAGACACGAGAAGCTGGAGATGCAGCTGAAGCAGGACAGCGCAGGCGGCAACAGGCGTGGGGACTTTATCCCACGGGGACAAGGGGATCCCAGCAGAGGGAACAGTCAATACTCGTTTCTACCGATCCTGCCAGCTGCCCTGTGGCTGAGCATCTTCTGCAAAGGGCAGGCTTTGCGTCCGACCAGCTCTGAGCCTCAGACATCTGGTCATTTGGACGTGGGATTCCCAGATCCTCCCGGACCGAGCTCCGAAGGACAGAGCTGGCTGCCAGTTCTCCCGCCCCATCCCCAGCACACAGAGCTGCTCCCAAAGCATGTGTGGAACGAACGGACAGAGAGGACGAGACACTTACCAGCATTTCCCCTGGAAGGGGCCAGGCTGCCTGAGGGGCCTTCCATGTTCTCTGGAAATCACAAAATCAAGGTTTTAGTAAGGCCACGCCTCAGGGAACCCCTGAGAGCAGAGCCGGCACCCCGCCGATGTCCACACCCAGGGCCAGCACCCAGCAGGACCCCGCACGGGCATCCGCCGGTGACCACCTCGTGAATGACAGGCAACAGAGCGAACGCCCCCAACAGCTGCAAGGTGCTTCCCACAGAGTCTGGGCTGGGGCTGTCCTCCCAGTGGATATGGCTGCCGCTCTCCGCTTTACAGAGGAGGAAACCGAGTCCCAGGAGAGGGAGGACCCCCAGCAAGTCATGGCAAAGCCAAGACAAGACTCAGGCTATATAGCTCCCATGGTATGAAGGACACTTTCCAGAAATTTCTTCTAAAAATATTCTAAAGTGACATATTTCATCAGGATGCCTGTCACGCCAGCAGTGGGAGCCAACACACCAATTCTCGCAGGCTGTTCCCCTACCGTCAGGTCCAGGGTTCCGGAGGGCCCTGAGTGACGGGTCCGTGGCTCCCTGGGATTGGTGTCGGCACACAGCAGGCGCTCAGTAAATGCTCAGTGTGTGAGGGAGTCAGCTGATTTGAGGGACAACCGTGGAGAACATTCCTACAGCTCTTAACGGGCGTGCTGAGCTACCTGCATTAACTCAAGTCATCCTCACAAGCCTCTGGGGCGAGTTTACAATGACCCCACTTAACAGGCATGGAAACTGAGGCTCGCCTGTGACCACAAAGCCAGTGAGCGGCAGGGCCGGGACGTGAACCCACGCAGAGCCCGTAAGCCAGCCCCCTGCCCTGGCTGAGTGAAGGTGGGCAGAAACCTCCCGGAGAAAGACGGCACCCGCGCTCCCCTCGAAGGCCATGGCCTTGTGCGGCGCCCCTCCCCCATGCACCAGTGACCGCTAGTCCCATTTCCCGTGGACCCCGAGTGGGCAGTGACAAGCTGGATGGCAACCACCTCATTACAGGCTTCATGTCTCCCCAACCTCCCTCCCCAATGGTCTCTGGACTCCCTGCACCTGCCCTGACTCATACGGGCTCCCAGCATTATAACCCTCATGGGCTCCTTCTTGGTAGTAGGTGAGGGGTATGAACGGACAGGAGGATGGAGGGCGCTGCAACCCTGAGCCAGCTCCCCACGCCCTCCCAGCTCGGCCTTCTCATCTGTAGAATGGGGACAATAATAGCGCCCGCCACAGGGCTGCGCTGTTTCCATTATCCTGGCCTCAGTTGCACCATATACTGTAATGGAATCACTGATCCTGCCATCACCCAGCACAGACCGTGGTACAAGGGGTGAGCAGGCTTTGCTAAGGAGAGGAGGGGTAGTATGTGAGCGGCCAGGTGTTCGCGGTAACTGAGCCTCACAGCTAGTGTGGGCCAGAGGTAGCTTCCCGGCTCTGTTTACGCCCACTCCCAGGGCGCTTGTGCACATTGCAAGGTGTTGGGACAGCCCCATGCCCTCCTGGGGCCTCCTGGGAGCCACGACCCTGCGGGGCCCTCTCAGGTCCCAGCTGCAGCCCAGGTGAGGTGAGCTGCTGGGAGCAGGAGGAGCAGTGGGAAGGCCAGGCACAAGGTTGTTCATCTGTGGCCAAGTGAAGAATAGGAGGGAAGAAACATCCTTTCTGGAAAAATCAATGGGCAGATGATACCGCCCAAGTCACAACCTACATGGAAGCCATCCAAGAAAATCAGAGACGAGAGAATCACAGCCTGGGTCTTCTGTGGCCACGCAGCCTCTCAGCCAGGGGAAGTGAGAGGCGAGCCAGCCCCAGCCGCCATCCTACAGGGAGGACCACCGGGCGCAGGTGGGGGCCACGGCTCGCTCAGGGCCCCGAGGTGTTTTGGTGGCTCTGCCATGAGTGAGGGGTGTCCAGCCCAGGTGGCTCATTGGCAGCGGCAGGTGGGCCCTTGCGGATCTCCAGCCATCCGCTTCCCTCTGATCTTGCCCATACTACCAGGGTGCCAGCGCAGCCTCACCCAGAAAACACCAAATCTCCGTGGCTCTTCCTGGCATGCTTTTGGCTTCTGGGGTGCCCTGTCCCCCCACCTCCACCCTAACATGTTGGGCAAAGTTGGGGGAGACTGCCTAACTCATAGTAAGTGCTCACAGATGTGAGTTATCACCAAGCACGATCACCAGCCCCATTTCACAGCGAGGGAAACTGGCTCCGAGAGATTGGGGACACCCACGGACACTGGGTGGGCGGTCCTTCACGCTCCTCGGCAGCCTTCTCTCTAAGCTAACAGGCATCGAGTGCCCTCACGCCAGTCAGGGACCAGGCATCCACTCTGCTTCCCTGGCAGGGTTGGCCCCAGCTCAGAGTGGGGCCTGGGCCAGTCCAGGACCCCAGGAGTCCTGAGACTCCAAATTAAGAGGAGATCCAGGCTGGCATGGGGTCGTCTGGGAACCCTGAGAGGCCTGACTTGGGCGGAGCTGGAACCAGCCAGGATCCTAGAGAACCTTCTGAAGCTCTAGGATACGAACACCCAGGAGGCGAGTTTGCAGTGAGTGGGAGATGTTTGTGTGAACTGCCAGCTCTGTCTTCAAGTCAGGGTCTCCCTTCCTCCAGAAATGGCTCCCACGGCGGAGAGACTGGCCCGTCCCCTTCCCCTCCCTGGGCTTTGCCACGAGGTGACTAGCCTTTTACACCTTGAAGCTCTGTTCTTGCACTTCCATCTGGTGGAATACCCTCCCCTGCCGTTGCCTGGCTAACTCCTACTCATTCTTCAAGGCCTTCAAATGCCACCTCCTCTTGGAAGCCCTCTTTGATTACGCTTCAGAATTCACAGAGGCACTCCAAGAACTTTTTTCTGTGCCCCTAAGTTGCTGGTATAGCCAGCTCCCTCATAACCACAGCTGTCATTAATTGAGCACCTACTGTGTGCAGGTGCTGCACCTGAAGTCTCTTTATTTTTTAAAATTTATTTTTATTGATTTCAGAGAGGAAGGGAATGAGAAAGAAACACCAATGATGAGAGAATCATTGATCAGCTGCCTCTTGCATACCCCCCACTGGGGATCGAGCCCAAAACCCGGGCATGTGCCCTTGACCAGAATCGAACCAGGGACCAATGCTCTATCCACTGAGCCAAACCAGCTAGGGCTTCACCTGCAGTCTCTTCAATCCCCACAACCAGCCTGCAGGCAGAGGTTACTACTCCCAGGTCACTGCCTTTTAAAACCGACTGGGAAACTTGCCCGAGGCCACACGGCTAGAGTGGCCAGGGAAGACTGTCACTCAGGACTGCCGGCTACACAGCCACCAGGACATATCAGATCGGGGGACTGTGGTAGGAGGGCCCGCTGCGCTTCTCCATCTCTGTATGCCTGCAGGGTGCCAGCTCTGTGAACCTGGACTAGGTGATGCGAGCTGACTGGCCAGCCGGCCCTCGCCGCGGCTACCTGCCTGGTGCTCCCAGCACCTCTGGCCAGGAGGGTCTCGAGCCCAGGCCTGGAATGGACCCAGCACCTTGGCCTTGGGCAGGGCCTATTCGCCCTTCCTTCCCTTTCCGTCTGGCACAGGAAGCTCCACGGGACACCGGAGCCCGCAGACCAGGCGAAGGCCAGGCAGGCACCGCTCCTCACACCCTGCACACTCTCCGGCTCCCCTGTGCAGCCTGACCTGTGGGCCCAGGATCTGAACAGGCGCACAAGGCTCCCACCCATTTCCAAAGGACATTATTCAACTACCAGAGGCTGTCAGCACGAGACAGGCACCCTCCTCACAGACGTAGCTGCAGCTTCCCCCATGTCAGCTCCCAGGGAAAAGTCCCCCCGGGTGGGTCTGCCCGAGGGAAGTGAGCCTCTCATGCCTTCTCGGACGTGAGGCAGGGCGACTGTCCCACCCTGGTGGCCCAGATTCCTGGGCAGCTGCGGGTTTCCAGGCACAGACCTCCGTCCGCGCTGCTCAGCTCCGGGCAGGTACTGCGAACGCTGAGGACGCCTGACAGTCCCTGCCACCAAGTGACCGCAGTGTGGCCAGTGCTGTGAGAGAGGGAATGGGGCGGGCGGAGGGCACGGGAGGCTTCCTGGAGGAGGTGAGCTGAGTCCAGAAGGACCTGACCTGGCTAAAAAGGAGGCGTGGAGGTCAAGGTGAGGGACCGGCTCCCAGGGCAGGAACGGTGTGTGATGGGCTGGACCCCGCTGGCCACGGCCTTCCCCTGACCTTCCAGGTGAGGAGGGCCCGGCCCTGGCTGCTCAGGTCAGAACTCTGGGTCTGCGCTCGGGCCTGGCCCTGTGACGCCCACCCTGTGCCTCCCCTGGAGACCTGCTCCAGAGGTCACAGGACCACCTGTGTGCAGACCACGCAGCGGCCGGAGCCTTGTTGCAGCCCGAGCCTTGGGCTGTGAGTGCTTCCCAGCCCGGGTCCGGCCCAACCTCCTTGCCCCCACGGGCCTGTCAGAGGAGGCAAGGTCCTGGGACACTTTGCCAACACCGGCCTGGCAGCGGAAGCCTCTGCCAGCCTCCTGGGCAGCCAGGCCAACACTGCGGCGGAGGGCACACCAGCCCCGGCCTGTCTCTGATGCCCCATCTCAGCCTCGGTCCGGGGGGAGCAGCTGTGGGCAGAAGCAGCCGAGCGAGACCTCAGCCATCCACGCTAAGGGAGTGACAGGAACCGCGACCCCGTCCGGGGACAGAGACCTCCCCGGGAGGCAGCCAGCCAAGCCAGGGCAATGCCCGGGGGTCGGGAGAGCAGCCTGGGCCGCCCGCAGCGAGAGGAGGCACTGGGTGCAGAGAGGAGGGCCTGGCTCCTCCCGCCATGCCGGCCTGTCTGTCTTCAGCACTTCACTGTAAAAATAAATGGAAGCAGCACACGCCAGACAGAAGAGAGGGAGGAAAAACCCCCCACACCGCCCCACATGGGCTCCCCCCGCGGGTCTGGGCCAAGGCCGTGGCCTGGGTTACTTGCTGCTGCTTTTCCCGGGGAAGCTGCCGGTGCCAGATTTGCATTTACCACAAACAGAGACAACACAATGTCATAATCCTTCTCCTGTCATTCTCCCCTCTCTTCCTCCTCCCACCTCAGACACACACACGCTAACACAAAATGACGGCTCCCTCGACAGCCTGAATGAGCAAAGCCCTGGATCTGCCTCTTAATTGTTGGCGTTTCTCTCTGGCCGACCGCTCCGTGCCCATCGCCCAACTTGCAGCAGACCACCCACCGCCCCCTCCTTTGTCCCAAGTCACCGCTGACAAATGGCCTGCTGGAGGTGGGAGAATAAATATGCCTGGAAACGATGGGGGGGGGGCGGAGAGGGAGAGGGAGAAGCCAGCCCCCACCCCCGCGGCTGCCTCTGCACCCTCGCGGCCGGGATCCTGGCCACAGATGCTGCTGGACCGGAGGGGACGAGGGGCGGTGATGGTAACTCTGGCCCCTGGGACTCTGAGCAGGGGCCTTGCCCTTCACGCCCCTGCTGCTGCCTGGCGGCTGGGCTCCCAGCGCAGCCCCTCCTCTCCGCCCGCGTTCTCCTGGGCGCTACTCTGAACATCCCCCGCGCCTCCCTCCCTCCCCGCTCTTTATGGCAGTTTCAAAGCTGCAGCCGCCACTTGAGCAGCTGCGGCCTTTGATGAGGACAAGGCAATGAAGGCCGCCCGCCTGGGAGGCCCCTGCCCGCCCTGCCCTGGCCCGGCCGCCCCTGCCCGCCC